AACATGAAAGAGTGGCTAATTAAGTTTTAATCAGTAGGTAGCAGTTTTATCAGCTGATTGGTTTGGCTTTAACAATACAATTGTATTGATGCTGCTTAAAATGAACACTAAAGAACTCAAAGAGCGTCTGATGGAATAAATTTTCTTATTCCAGGTCCAAACTGGAATCTATACTCGATTATTACGTGCAAATTAAGGAAAACACATTGAAGTTAGGTATACTCTTTATTATGTACCAAAACTTGAAATAATTTCCTAGAATTTGGTTGTCATTTCATAGCTTTAAGTTGAACAAAGGTGTTATGGTTGATTGAATGAGAAAAGTTTTTTTTTTATAAATACCCTGCTGTATAAGATTTCGAGTATTTTCAACTTGACAATCCTCATAATATTACCTTTTTATAAATTAATATACAAAATTTCATCTTATGTCTGATCTAGGTTGTTGAGAGCCTGGATATCCATCAAGTGATCCTAACAATGAATTTCAAATATATAATATTATTATATCCAAAAAGTTTACCAGTGTAAAAAATTACATTCACGTTTTCTTATCTAAGCTCACCTAACGGCTGATTAATTTAGAACTCCTCGACGACCAGTAAGAAGGGTCGATCCATTCCACGATCTTTCCGGATACTTCGGACATCCATCCGGAAGGTTCACAGGCTTCGGAAGTCGCCAAGACCGCAATGAGTAGCAGGAGAACCAGGAACCTCATAGTGAATCCTCTGGAAGAAGGCTGTGAATAGCGATAGACCTACAATGGTGCTGGTGAACGCTTACCCAACTAGCCTACCATATGTTTAATGATTGTTACATAACTGTGGAGCACTCTAGCATTGTGAAATACCACTTCTGTGTGGAGTTTCACACAAAAATTTAACATCGCTGTTTCAAAATTATATGAAACTTCAGGTAATGGTTAATAAATAAAAGATTGTACTAGCATTCACAGTGCCAGGTCTTAATTTAATTTCGATCATTTGAATTTCAATAAACTAAAGAAAAAAATTACTCACTAAATATAGTTACAGTAAAACTTTATTATAATAAGTGAATTTATAGTATCATTTGATTGTGCATGAAATGTTTTCTTAAAACAAAAATATACCTCTTATTAGTTACTAGATGAAACCCGTCGAAATCAACGGTTACTTTCAAGGCTTACATTAATTCATCTAACTGCGATAAATTGGGTGAAGTATACATTTTTTGAGCATTTAGCATTGTTTAAAGAGTAATAAGTGTAAAAACAATAATGATATTAATTGTGTTAGTTGCCAAATTTGGTTGATCATTCAATGAATAAAATATTCCCCAAACCGTTCGTCATCGGAGTTATTATTAGTATGTTATATGGTATCTCTTCAAGTACAAATGCTTTCCAAAGAGTTTGTATACACCCTTTATATAAACATACATCTAAGTACAGGGTATTTCGTAACTCTCTACCTTTCATAACAAGTTCATAACAAATGTACACATCACATTCAAATCGTCTCTCAGTCAATCATAAGTCTGTAGATTCATGCAACGTTTCAGAATTTTAATGCGGTTATTGAGGAAAAAGGCGGTTTTCAAAAAATACAAAATGGCGGGTCTGCAAGTAATCATTGACTTACAGAGAGAGATTTATATGTAATATTTAAATTTGTCATGAACCCTAAAATAATACCTTAAAAGGTTGGTAGAGGGTCACGAAACACCCTGTATATACATGAATTGGAACGGATGTTGTTTTTGGACCTCTGAGGACATCAAAACGAAAAGTAAATCGGTCCAGGGTCTAGATCTTATCCTGGAGACGTTCCCTATACAGTATTGGAAATTTTCAAAAAATGTTGTAAATTACTTTGATGGCATTTCTTGCTCAATATTTGTAGTTTGTGACATGTGTCGTCTTGAAAAGTATTTTTAACTGAGAAACCATGTTATCTGAAAATATATTTATTTACTCATACAAAAGCACAATGCAAGGCTAGAAAGGTTTTTATAAAAAAATATAAGTAGGCATGTTAATTTCTAAGTATTTTTATTATTTTCAATTTATAGGTTTCAACAATAATTTGATAGAGCCAGCAATATGGCCGTACAGAGATAATAAGTAGGCTTAGTAAGAGATAATAATTATTCACAATTGTTCACCATTTTAACAGTTACAATGCTATTTTTTAATTTCAACTGAATTACGCAGTTCTGAATTATGCTACACTTACTGTGAACTAAAAAATAGGACCTTTTCAGTTAATTAAGCAAAAAAGTTGTTGGTGGACTTTCCCTAAAACCGCCTAAGTTTTGTTAAGGGACTATACTTAACAAATAAACTACTTTTATCAAAGCCATGCTATTCAAGTACTGCATTTTACCCTACTCCCTTAAACTGCTTCAACTCTTTAATGGCCATACTTGACCAAAGAGATTTCCCAAGTGCCAGATGTCAGCAGTAACGGTCCAGGGATGTAATTGTGTCCAAAGACAGATGGCTTGAACCTTCCATTGTCTGTGGAACTCATTGATTGAGGTTGCTGGCCACAATTACCATAACTGGAGATCTTCCGTACTCCGTTTTGTAATTGTTGGACTTAATTAATCCTCCAAGTACGTTGACAATCGTGAGTCGCATTCTGAAGTGCTCATCCTTTGTTTATGTTCGGAGTTAGTCTGTGGGACAGCACGGAAAAGGTTTGAGGAATTCAAAGAGATGTTTGTAATTACTTTTAAATCTGAAGAAATTTGGCAACATTTTTGTTGGACGTTTTCTGACTGTGTGGTTGATAGGAATAGATGTTGTTGCTTTTCAACGGTATATGCAGGTGTATCCAAGCTATTCTTAAAAACAAGGTGGAAAAAAGCTGAGGACAATAATGAGTACAAATGTCCGCAATAAACCTTTCAACAACATTAACTCACCATCACCAACAATGAATTTCAAATTTAACAAATAATGAAAATAGAGCTACAAAACTTGGATTCAAGTTACTGGACATAATAATCATTTGAACAATTCAATTCAATTCAATTCAAATATCTTTATTCATTTTTATGTACATTGTACAATAAATAGTGTCAAAATAATTACAATAAAAATAGTGTCAAAATAGTTCAACAGGATAAAAAACAGCAAAACATGAGGAATGGTTATAAAAACAACAAATACATTTTACAAATCTAGTGAGATAATTTATCACTAGAACACATTATTCAATGATACGCCACCTCTTTAGGGGAACCGCTTGCTAGGAGTCTGAAGAGGATTGTTAGAAGTAATCCTAGGGTAATACTTTAACATTGATAAAAACGGTATTTTATAGTAGAATTAGAATACAATGCCGCAACGGACAACTGAGCCCCCAAATGGTAGTTGTTCAAAATGTATGTAGGCCTATCTCAAATGTTATAATTTTTCCAATAACAAAAAGTGGGGTAAAATTTAAGAAATCTTTGAATGGATGCCATTTTTAACTCTGTTGTCCGTTTGAGTTTGGGCTTTCGGCAATGTACTAATAAAAACCATGAATGTGATAAGCATATAAACCTATTGCTTACATTTAAGTTTATCTTCTGACTCTTATAGATATCACTGATTAATGTGTTAAGATAACTTTTTCTTCATACTGCAGTCAAAACAGTGGTCCAAATCTAATATCTTAATAATCTTAATAGCTTCATCATTGGTAATCATCCTGATGGTGAAATTTTGTTTCTTATACAAATCATGGAAATACAACAGTACTTTCCAGATAACTTTATTTGAGACAAAAAGGGTGGTAATGGTTGAAAAGCTGCATTTTGCATATTATTTAAGTGCTTGGATAAGTAATTGGTTAAATTGGTACTGTAGTTTGTTTATGAAGGACAATCCCTAAGATTTACAGCTATCACAGGTGATGAATTTATTTACCGTAACATATTTATAAGTTTACCTGAACAAAGTGGACAAAACAGCTAGTTTAAAATATTGAAGATGCATAAACTGATTAACTGATACATTTTTTTTAAATAATTGTTTGTTTACTTTCATCTTAGGTTAAGGTTTTAATTATTACAGTAGAACCTTGATAACAAGACTCCCATGGGGATTGTAAAATAAGACTTGTTATCAAGGTTGACTTCTTATCGAGGTTTGTAATAACATGTGATTAAGGGTAAAATAATTTTAAGGGGATTTGAAAATGACACTTGTTGTTGTTATTAAGGGCAACTTGTTATCGAGGGTCTTCTTATCAAGGTTCCACTGTATCATAAATTTTATATTTTTCACCATGAAAAATGTCAAAACGTTTTTTTTATATGATGTGAGGTGGTAGTTTTCCAACACAGTAATTGATGTTGCAGACAAATGTATTGTAAAATTAGGTGCAACAAGAACCATGTAGTGTTGAAGAAGTCTATGTGTTCCAACTTGTAAAACATGACACCTTTAAGAATTTTCCTTCTGACATGGACATACTTTAATACTTAATACTTTATTACTTTTCGTTGAAACGGTGTCCATACGAAGTAGGTATTTTAAGCCAAGTATGAATGGAGAAGGCCGACATATTCTTTAGACACAGCTGTTAATTAATAGCCCATACAGCTAATGGCAACTAATGGACCTACAGTTTATAGTGGGATCCGAACCACATTTTTGCCTTGGTATATACGAATTGGTCTAATTATTAGGATAGTACTGCGGATAGTCATACTACTCACTCGTGCGGACGTTAACCCAACCAGAGAGTATCGCATCCACAGTGCATGCCTATAAATATCCACAATTCGTGACCTCCTAGTAGTTGGATTACAGGAGCCACCCGTCCCAGTACCAGATAAGTCAAGAAAAGCACCAATGGATGATTGTACAGTTCACATTGGAAAAGGCAGTGAAGAACCACTTTCCCCTTTAGAAGCTTGGCAGAGTAACTAGTCCAGAATAATTATTTGAATTTATTACACAATTGAGTCATAAGGAAGGAGTTTGTACTAAAAACAACACTTCAACATATATTCAATATATTTTTATTACAAAAGCTATGCACAAAACAATTTGCACCGTGAAAAAATACAACACATGTTTAATATTAAAATACAGGGTGTTTCAAAACTCGTAAGGTTTTTTTCTGATTAGAGTTATTTTGTAAAAATTACTAAATGAGTTTCTGACTGCGGACTTCAAAAATGCTCTTAATAATGAATTTGAAATAAGAGAAATTTGGTAGAATCATCAAAAAATGTAAGTACTGTTTTAATAACTTTTATAAGAAGATTTAATTTAAACCCAAATGACTACAGTCTTATGAATTAAACAAGAATCAATAATGGGCTTTGTAAAAAGTGTTAGAAAAACCATCATATGTCTATACCTGTCCATAGTCATCGATGGATGTTTCCACATTAGTTTTTGCTAAACTAAATTTTACATAACTCAGTTGTGTCTTAACCGATTTGGAAGATTTTGGTTGGATTTATAATTTAGCTTTCTAATAAAATGGACAGATAAATGAAATTTTAATTTATTTGAAAATTTGAAATGTCCTCCATTTTGAATTCTGAAAGAGCCTATTAAATATGTTTTAATGAAATAAGCCTTGATCTGGCATACACCGAAGCCATATTTATTAAAATATCACGAGATGAAATATTATGTATGTAAAAACAAAATGGTGACACATAGTGTAACTGGGAACTTATTTAACGATAATAACTTTTAGTTTTTTTCCAGAACCAGCCCAAAAACACCAATAAAGAGTTCTGAAACACCCTGTAGCCTATAATGCAGGGTAATGATTACAATAAACACAATTATGAGATCAATTAGATATTACATAGATAACAACGCATATATTCATTGTTCTTGTGAATGAGAATTAGTAATTTATTTCCTTTTCATAGATATTTTGTCATAATGTTGACAGAAATGTAATCTCAATTTAATGGTGAAAGTAAAATATTAAATACTGGATTTTAAGATGTTCTAAAAGTACCGAATATTTGAGTCATAATTGTAAATTAAATAGGTAGGTACAGTGTCAGTAAGACATAACCGGTATGATTTTACAACTATATAAATAATAGAAGGAACATTTTTGAATCCCCTGCTTCTAAGTTAAATACAAGAAATTTGTCGTTGCCATCTCTTTTGTGCCTGACCAGCTTCTGAAAGTGTAAGAAGGTATAATTCCTTTAACTATTCAGGACTAAAAATAACGAAAATTAAAATGTAGTCAACAATGTCGACATGTGGGGAAAGACAAATAAGTAGATCCAATCGTAAACTAGTTTAGTTAATGAATATTAAAATAAATTCAGATGTAAAAGTCATTCTTTAGAACTATGAGTATGTCAAACAATTGAAATACAAATCAGTACAAGATTTATGGCAAAAAATGTATTAACAAAAACAGCGTAACAGTTCTTCTCTGATAGCCAAATTTTATAAGTTCAAAGACTGACTAATTGTTGATGAGGTTAAATAAAATCTATAGAAATATTTAAACAAAATAAAACCTTTTAACAATAGCACCGTTAATTTAGGGGGTTTTCAACAACCATTCTTCATCATGATGTTTCCATTACTTACAATCTTTATCGATAAAATAAATAATTTCTTAACAAAATCACAATTTGACAATTAACAATATTACACGACTTATTTACATTTTCAAGGCCCAAAGGTTAAGGCACAAGAAATAAATTCTATAAATATTATACATATATAAATAAATCACATATAATTCCATGGCACGCGACCGTGGAAATCAGTCATTATATACAAAAGCAAAAGCCAGTTATCAATTTCTATAAAGGTTTTGATACTCTTAAAGCTGAGCACTATTTAACAGAAAAGACAGCATCAAAATATGCCCAGAAGGTTAAACTCATAGCAAAGCACAACTCAAAATTGATATGCATCTTTAAGAGGATCAAAATCCACAACCAAAGGGGAACACTTTAGAAAGAACTTGTTCAATACTTTGATGACCCAAACATTCTAACAATGTAGGAAAATATTTCTATTAACAAGGTTTCTTTACCAGTGATGTAGTCTTTTGTTTCAAGGGTGGAGAATTTCTTTAAAAGATGGAAAACATTATTTACGTTTAAAGAAATTGCATTTTAAACAACTGAACACTCCCTTGTAGTTAGATGATTTAGACTTTGGATGGTTCAAACTTCCCATGTTTTAAACCTCAGATGGTTCGGATTTTATATGGTTTGAACTTTGGATGGTTCAGACTACATATGGTTTGAACTTTGGATGGTTCGGACTACATATGGTTTGAAATTCGGATGGTTCAGACTACATATGGTTTGAACTTCGGATGGTTCAGACTACATATGGTTTGAACTTCGGATGGTTCGGACTACATATGGTTTGAAATTCGGATGGTTCAGACTACATATGGTTTGAACTTCGGAGGGTTCGGACTACATACGGTTTGAAATTCGGATGGTTCAGACTACATATGGTTTGAACTTCGGATGGTTCGGACTACATATGGTTTGAACTTCGGATGGTTCGGACTACATATGGTTTGAAATTCGGATGGTTCAGACTACATATGGTTTGAACTTCAGATGGTTCGGACTACATATGGTTTGAAATTCGGATGGTTCAGACAACATATGGTTTGAACTTTGGGCACTTACACTCACTCTGGAAATAGCCGTAAAAAATCAAATACCTGTTCATCCAGCACTGAATGGATATTACTGCTTTATTGCTTAGAAGTGAACTGTACTTTATTTAATTTGTTTACAAAATGCATAGTTGTGAAAATTTTTGGATAAGTTTTTATTTAACTTCTACTGGTTCCTAATCTTTTAGTTTCAACAATGATCCCACCCCAACCATTCCGAATGAGAGAGAGAGTTAGCGTATTTAAAATCATTGGTTGATTAAAAGATATAAAAAAAATGTATAGTAGTTAATAGATACCAAATCGTATGAAATTTAAACTAAAATTCTTCTAAGGAAACAAATAAATAAATGGCTATTTAACTAACAATATCAACTTCATATCTTTTGATTACAACATATACAGGACTCAACAAGTATTAATTATACTAGGTGATACAAATTTAATAATAGTCCTTATAACTTTGCTTTCCAAAATATGTATCGCATACAGTATTATTGCTAAGTGGAGTTAATCTATTTTACATTGGTGTATAGTACAGTCTATAAGTTATTAGACATATTTGGCTGACTACATTATAGAAAATTATATCTAATAATTATATGGCTATGTTTAATGGCTATTACAGTACTATTCTATTGTAAGTATTCCCATCAAATGTTATGGCTGTTATTTTGATCACTGAAGATCAGTTTCTACTGCATTGAATTACTAAGCCGTTTCCGATTCAAAATTTACACAACGATAGCTTATTTACCTAACAGACTTTTCAATACCTAACAAGAGAATGTGATTTTGTGAGTAAAAGCAAGGAATAATAGATCACCATATTCAGTAAATTTATCACATTTCATCAAGTCTTGCTAAGTTACCTTTTTTGAAGGATATATGTCTGAGCCATACTTTTAACGCTTGCAATATTTTTAACGCTCTTCCAACTTCAAGGAACTTAACTTCAAGGAGTTTTAACCAAACATAAACACAACACGATAAACATTTGAACAACGATTTAACTGTCACTTTTAGAACCGGAACTAACAGAGAAAGTTCATAAAAACATTTTGGGAATTATATTTTTTAACAATTTAATACAGAACTCATGATAAAAATAGAAAAGTTAATTACTCTTCCATATAAACAGAAATTAAGCCACAATAAAAGGATTTGTGTTTCAAATAGGTAAAATTTACATAAAACTTAAAACTATAAAGCTGCAGTTCCATTTCAAAGGAAGTTTTAAAATTATATCTTAATGGGTTCCACAGATGGACGAAATAAATGTATAGGCAAATTTGTAAAATGTCCCATAATAGAGGTTAGCAGTTTTACTCAAGTTTATTTTAAACGTCAAAACACAAAAATTGACTCAGCTGAACATAAATAATCATCGAAACCGCAAGTAGATTTTCATTCCTATCATATGATCTGATCGTTTTAACTGTTTCATCACTGATGTCAACTATGTGTTTCTCTCTTTTGATTGTTTTGTATGGTCATAATAGTTCTCAAGCTAGTGAATGAAATAAAAGTTAAACAGTCACTTTGAAGTTAAAGAACACAGAACAGCTTAAAATCATCTTCAGTAGATCCGATTATGAATCTACAAATGTCTAATCTCCATATACATGGGCAGCTCATTTTCAAACATCACCAATAATTTTACTCAAGACAAAAATTAAATTTCATATCACAAATTCATTAAATCACACAAAATTTTCTTAAGTATTGAAAAGTCGCACGCGTACTATACAAAAGGAATTCCAAATTTGGACTTTGGCAGTTTTAGCTGGACAGTGACCCTCCGCTGACCTGGGTGTGGGCCAACATAAGGATATCCTTCTTCTCCTTGGGGAAGCGAAGTTCTCGTCCGGCGAGCCTTGCGGTTTCCAGCTCACGCTCGGCTTGGTTCAGCTCGCGTCCAAGCGCTCCCAGACATTCTTGTTCCCGTGCGATCCAGTCGAGCGCCATCTGTGAGCGCATGTCGTCATCCAGCGCTCTGTTGCTATAGTGTGCCACCACCTGTGACAAGAGGGAAGTGAGAGAAACACAAAATTGTTATTGTTCAGTACTAAAATATTTAATCAATCCTTAGATTACAATTTTAAAACTGTTTGTTCCCTATATTTTGTTAAAATGAATTTAACTACCTGTTTATACTTCATTCACTGGCGCTCAAGTAGTACACCAAATCTAACCTACTAGCGCTAGTATGGTGGTCATGTGCTTATAGTGGCAATTAATGCCATTGCAATCCATATTGAGCCTGCTAATGTAGCTTAGATGGAGTGGAGAGTTCATCTTAGATAAAAGTTGTCAGGATTTGGTAGAAGGTGACAGCATTAATGAGTTTAATAAGGTTTACTTACATACAACACCTTTTTTGCTTCTTTTTACATTGGTATGTCGTAAGGGGGCAAAGACTTTTGCCTTTATTTTGCTTAGAAATGGACATATTGTGTTGAAATATGTGATAAAAGACATAACTTAAAAATTATTACTAGAGAAATAACAAAATTATTCCATCACCATTGAGGCCCCTTTTATACTGTGCGGCGCGCCACACGCTGCTGATGTGTTCAACGGCCCTGTAAGTGCATTGAGTTAAATGGGTGCTTTTATACTCAACGGGGGGCCGCAGCGGCGCTGTCAAGTGCTGCCAACTGATCAAAACAAACTCAACCCAACACGGTACTGCCTTGCCTCCACCCCCATTTCACTTTATGTTGCCACTGTCGTAGGTGTTTTTCAATTAATTTTCTTTGCATCAGTTTGCAAGTTTTGTGTACGTAAAACTACGTATAATACTACAATTAAAGTAAATATAGAAATCCCTAAGTTGGTAGCCCTTATACCTCCACCGATGCCATGGCTGCCGCACAAACATGTGGCGCCCGTCGTAGAATGCAGTTGCGTCCGGCATGCCGCAGAGTATAAAAGGAGCTTGAGATGGATAGATATTGGTAAAAGAAATAGCTAGTCTTAGTCAGTAAAAAACTACAAAATCCATCTCACTCCATTGTACATTCATCCTTAGCCCTTATTTGTGTAAAAACACAACTAGTTAGTTGGGTTCCCATCTTGACATCTTGGTAGGATGAAAACAATTTGACTCAACCTCAAACATACAAGCCATACGGTATTGTGTGGATTTGTCTACAGCGATGTTAAAAAACAACTTAAGTTACAACATAGTACAACTTATTTGTAACGGGCCTATTTGATTAAGGGGTAATTTCAGAAGGTATTGTAACCAGGTTGAACTACTAAAGAAGACCTCAGTTTACCTGGTGTTGGTAGAGGGAAGGAATCACTATCTTAGTAAATAAAAACAGTTTATTACCACGGAACTACCTGGTAAAGTTAACCAGCTAGACGTTCACTGTTGAGCCCATGTCGCGACAATAACATAACCTTGAAATGTAACCAAGGTGACAGATGCATCGACAGGCGATCCTGGATCGAGGAAGTAAAACTACCTTTTTTTCTGCCGGTTTTACTTCTTCCTTTTTATGCTTAAGTTCCGTTTACTTCGGTTTAACGTCTTCTCGCTTCCGTTGTTCTTCTTCTAACTTTCCTTTTGCCAAGTCTCGGTTTTTTGTCTTTTTTTATAACCTCTGGCCAATCAGAGGTGTGTTTGATGTTGACTGCTCGGACCTGAAAGGTAAAGAGGAAGTCGGCCATTCAGACTGTGATCTCAGCTGTGGATAGTCTAGAGTTATTCGTTTGTGAGTTTCTCGCCTCTGTAAGTTAATTTTTGGAAGAGTCGTATTCCTAGTTTGTGGTGAAACGTGTGAGTTCATTTCTATATCTGTTTCGTCATTTGGTGAGTTGCGTGACAGCATTTTAGTTCTATTTAATTAGTTTAAATAGTTAAACACCAGAGCGAACAGGAACTGTTCGGTAGTGCTCGGTAATCGCGCCTGCTCCATCCATTGTTCAGCGTGAATGATCAAAGGAAATTCGGGTTCGCCCGAGTTCGGTGCTCGCTTCAGTGTGACTACATCGGAGTGACGGACCCAGTCTGGTCCTTGCCGGTGTCTGCATTACTGCTAGCAACAAGTTGTTTAGGTCAAAGGTTGTATTTTTTAGTTGTACTACAATTAATTATTCCTATTTTGTTTAACTGTGGAGTGCACTGATGTTGGAGCTGATTGAAGAAAACACAGCAAGGCCAGTGTAATGGGATCCTAGTAGTGCTGATTATAAACTGTTAAATAAAAAATTAAAACTTTTTTTACTAAACAGTCAGTCTGTTTAAGAACTACACAGTGACGATAACAGGGATTATTGTCTACGTGGAGTTCTTGTGGTGGCGGAGCACAAACATGACATTTCAACCATACGATTCGTGTGTGTTCACTCTAGTGTGACTACTCCCATTTTCAGGTGTTCGCGAATGCTAGCGAACCACAGCAAACACCAGTGAACATTCGGTTCGCTCCTGTTCGCTCTGGTGTAACCGTACTTGTAGAAGTTTTAAGTTTTGTTTTCACGTTCAAGAAGTAGCTTTATTTTTTTGTTTCAACCTTTTTGTTCATATTTCTCACTGACAACCTTAGCCAACTTTCTTTTAGTAAACTCAGACTCTGTGGGATCTAGGTTACGCCTACTTTAACCCTTTGTCTGTTGCAGGTTCCCACGTGTAACCCTGTAGGTAAGCAGGGTGAACCTTCTTAGTTTATTGCTCGTATGGATGTAGTTTAAGAGGTTATCACCTACAGAGTCACGTCAAAATTGTCGGTCCCCCACAAACTCCTCTGACCAGAGCGGTGACTATAAGTGTGGTGTCTAGGGACACTAGTCTTTCGAAGCTGTGATTAACCGAGACTATCAATACTGAGGCTATTGTAATCACTATCGACTCTTGGAGACTCCCAGCAACCCGTCTCGTGCAATTCCTGGGACTTCGTCGATTGTTAAGGTGGTGGAACGTCCTGCGTTACCATATGAGGTTTCGTAGCATATTGATTCATTTTTCAGAGTCGGTCGTCAGTTTTCAAGCCGTGCACGCGCTCTAAATGTTTTCGTGTGTCCGTCCTGTGCTTATATGTGTATTATTTATTCAACCCCTGACGCAATGCAAATGAAGACAATTCGTGTTACATGTGACAAGACTATAGTTTAGTGTACCACTACGCACCTGACGATGGAGTCATCTCCGAAACGGCCGTAGTGGAATATTACCCCTGATTGCGTTGATGGTAAGAACCATATATATTATTATTATGATTCATTTTTGTATAAGGTTCCTCCACTAATCGCATAAGCATCCGCAAATTGTACAAGATCTACTCAGTAGTATCTCTTAAATTTGCTTGAAACAGTCAAACTCTATAAGATTTTAAACACTTTCCCTCTTAACCTACAGTTTTTACAAATTCCTCAAGAGCACCTGGTAGCTTGCTTCTTGTCAGAACACTGCCTCTCCCTCATTGCTTTTAAGCTGCAATTCTGTGAAATTATAATTGGATTTTCTTTATAAAACACAGTTTGTATGAATTCCTCAAGAGCTTACTAGAAGTTGGGAACATTTTGTCCCTCTCAACTAAGATATTGTGACTAATTTTCCCTCATAACCCACACTTTTTATTCTTCATTTATAAATTTCATTAGCATACCTCTTGTTAACATATTGCCTTGAGGCTGTAGTTCTGTGAGATTTTGAACGCTTTTCCTTAATAACCCACAGTTTTCACAAATCCCCGAAGAACACAACCACTAGCTTACTTCTTGTTAGGGACATTGCCTTGAGGCTGTAGTTCTGTGAGATTTTGAATGCTTTTCCTTAATAACCCAGAGTTCAGAGTTTTCACAAATCCCCGAAGAACACAACCACTAGCTTACCTCTTGTCGAGAACACTGCCTTTCCCTCATCGCCTTGAGGCTGCCGTTCCAATGAAGCAGCTGGAACACCGTCATAAGTTCTTGGAACTCGAGCATGGTACGGCCTTTGTTTGTCTCCAGCATGAACCGGAACGCTCCAATGCCGGTGTTGGGATTGTCAGCCTCCTCTGGGTCTCCCTGGAGAACAGACCTCATGAGCCATAGGTAAATTTGGTCTTAAAATATATGTATGCACACACAGCTTTGCCATGAAGCACCATCATTCATTTATCTACTTGAAGGACATTAAAATTAATCTTAACCATGCCACCAACGGTAATAACTTCTTCTCTATATAGGGGACATTTGCTAAAAAGCTTCAAGAATCACAATAATTTTCGTCAATTTAGTATAGGTAAACGTAGAAATTAAACTAATATTGGCCAATCAAATAGTACACTAGAAATCGCAAAAATTGCTAAAATTGGCTAGTTCTGATTTTGTATTACATTGTTAGGACTGCACTATCAGTAGTGTACCAGTATTTCCAAGTTTATAAGATGTCAGAAGAATTGTGCGGTTTTTCGAGTCCTAAGCTTTTAGCACAGATCTTTCGAAGCTGCAAATTTGGATATATATTACTGGTAGCAGTCCTAATAACATATTAAATATCCCCGCTGCAGACTAAGCAAATTTCCATTTGCCTGATTGGATTTTCAATTAAATCTATTTAAATAACATTAGGTTTAACAAGTACCTAGGTTTGCTGCTACAGGGAGGGTAAAAAGTGTTTTAGTAAAATAATAATAGCTTAGTATACAATATATAAATTTTCCTAGTTTCATCAAAATATATCCATAAACAAGCAAACTACAAAATTCTCTTACAATATTATCCACAAGAATAACATAGGAATTTTAAATTTACAATGTTTTGAATTTTCTCTGTAACCTATAACCATACAAAAACACTTCAATATACTAAATAGTTTGTTTATTTAAGCTCTTTAAATTGGTTTAGTGAGAAATTGGGAAATTTTGTGTTTTGAAGGTCTAAAATGAGGAAAACTATTTTTATACCCCGTAAAACCCTGTTCCCATGGTCCAATCAGAATCATGCTGTTTTTCGAACTCTTTCAAGTTTATCCCGCCTTACACCTTCAAACCAAATTTTATCAAAATTGGACAGAGAAAAAAATTAAAACATCTAAACAGAATCGTCGATGAATAGTATAATAAGTGTAGGTTCTGTTCTGGAAGAACTTGTTAGAAGGACATCGAGCAATCCCCTTTGCGGATTGTTCCTTTTGTTAGTGAACTAACACAATACATGCAAAACATGAAAGCAAAAACCATACAACACCAGCAAATACCTACAGCATATCATCATAGAATAAATAATTACTTCATCTATGATATCGTACAGTTATTTACGTGATCAATCAAAACACGTCACGTTAACAAACGCTGTAAACGTGAACAACGTCAGCTATATAAAATAAACATGACTTCTCACGATCTAAAGAAAAGTGGATCGAGTCAGCTCTTGGCACTCAAAAGGGTTAATGTAATATTGAATAACGGATTTATTTTATTATTTATTTTGCGTTTTTACGCCAGAGGCATTGTTTACGTTTTGAAAGGGAACTGTCCAAACCCTGAACTTGTTGCTATCTAACGTCGACCTTTTTGTTAGATAGCATCATTAATTCTTAGCCCAATGGCAAATGTCATCTGGGTCTGAAAACGATCTCGCATGGATTCGAACCATAGACCTTCAGATTTGAAGGCGAGCACTATAACCACTCGGCTATTCAAGTGTTCCACAAAATATTCACAACGAAAATCATACAGCAAAGTAAACTTGATGAGATCTTTAACCCAAAACATCCACGATTCCTACGTTTTCTTGACGTGTTTTTGGCCTGCGTCGGCGGACGCGCCGTGTAGCGTAGTGGACAGTTATGCGGTAGGTATTTATTATAGATCAGGATCGTCAGTCAAGAGAGCCGTTCGGGTTCCAATTCGCCCGATGCAACTTATGAGTTCCCGCGGCAGTATCTTGTGAGAAAGAATGTTCTTTGACATAATTTATTCCGCGTTGCGTCACCGCCGCCCCAGATGGGCTAATTGCGGGAGAGCCTGTAGGCTGGCGGGGGCGAAGGATTCGCACAAAATAACAATGGCACCTACACCACAACTGTGGTGTGGAGTAGCGAACGGTTTGAAACTCAGAGATATGATATATGACACAATGTGACAGTTTAGTTTAAGCAGTGGGACCTACTCTAGAACCAGAATAACAGAAAATGTAGACTTAAAGGGTGTTCAAGCACAAGATAACACAAGGGGATAAGCAGTTGAGGACAAAAACAATGGGCCCTATGCTATAATCAAGATAAACGGGAATCGTAGGTATTGTACTCGTCAGAATGCGCGATTGACGAATTGAGATATCAAAGACAAATATCATAAATGAAATTCAGTAGTCTAATGAAAAAATGTAGGATTTAATACAACACAAGAAATGAGCTTGTGCTCTTAGCAAAACAGCAAATTTAACATGATTACGACTAACTAGATCGATGACAATTAGGCACAAAGGGTGCTTGAGGAAAAGAACGCATAATCTGATGAACCTCTCGTCCTAAAGGGGAGCAGCTTTCGTGATAATCTATACCATAGACTAACTTACGTTTAATCTATGCCAATGGTCCATGTTTCTGTACGTTATGGTTTGGCGCCCCCTGAAGTAAAAAAAATCATACAGCATCGAACTGGTTTAAATCGAGTGATCTCCATCACACACAATTGTAATAATGTAATACTGAATGTAAATTTTGTCTATGAAGTCTTAGGTGCAGCGGAATACAGGTGGGTAAATATAGGCCCTACACGAAATTTACATCCTTTCTTCCTTCTTTAAGGAAACATACACAGCTGTTACATACATAACTTAACTGCAACCAGACACTACCACGTAACATAAAAGGGTGCACTGAATGGTGAAGTTAACAGAGTTCAAATCGGAAGGCTTGTGAAGAATTGTGTAGTTGAATGAATCGATATTTAGCCTCTTTTTGTTCCTGTCGATGATCTTGATTTTGACCTTTGTTCGACGGACTAGTAGTGTATGAATCAATATACAGGTTACGTTAATAGCATCTCCATCAATGAGTTAAGTGAAAACCTCCTACCTCTAGGTTCCCCAAACCCTCTATTTAGAACTATAGACTAATTTGCCAGTTGCACGAGACGTTATGTTTCTGTTGTTGCAGCGCAGTTGTGTTGCTCGGCGAGTTAATGACACGGTTCCATTGAGCTGGACGCAGGACGCAGGCGCATGGCCGAGAAGCGGGTCTGTTATCGCGCATGCGGGATCAGGTCCGCCGACATTGACGAGGTAACCTTCTGAGCGTCACATTCCGGTTCCGATATCACGATATACGGCGACTTTCGGAATTATTACACAGCCCGTCCGCGGAACTGTTCGATCGGCCCGACTTTAAACTCAGAGTTCGACGACACTGCACCGTCACAATCGCAATATAAATTCCCGGAGTTGAACGAGAATCTTTCTGAAAAACTAGTTTGACCTTTTGAACCGGGACCTTTCCGCCCCGGCCGTATTTTACCCGATATTGTTCGGATATAAAGTCACATGTTCGCGGCAATTTAAAATGACAGCCAATTACGGAGGGTATTTGAATGAACTGTTGATGTCGGAGGGCGACGCTAGCGCTGAGCGGCGAGGCCGTCTACCGCTCATATTTATGTGATATGAACCGAGCGGTTTGCTTAACGAGCGGTTCCATTTAACCGAAACTGACCGACGACGGCCGAGCGGAGCGCGTGAATCGGACGCGGTTGACATGGTTAGCCCGAGGTGGCAGTGTTGTGTACATAAAAACATACAAAGTTATATAGACCGAGATACGAAAGGGGGTTTACGTTATATTAATAGTCAAAGGTAAAACTATCACATCTGATAATTCAGAGATGCGGTGGTGACACGTGCTAAGTCAGGCATTATCCCTCTATGGATTACATACCAGCGATGTATCTTTGAAGCTATAGATGAGTTGGCCAAAACACATAGTTCTCAAAAAATACTCCTTACCATAAATTCTCTTTCGCCCAAGATTTAGTCTCTGTCTCTTTTACGTTAAAATACTAAATTTGGCACATTTTTAGGAATATTAATAGGCAATGTTTCCCAAGTAGCTAAAGATATCAAACGCATTTTTCATAGTTTTTTTAAGGCAAGAATTTAGTGTGTTGGTGACCACACAAGAAGGTAATCGAACTGAGGAAACGATAGACATCTTGTTCACCACCTCTCTGCATGTGCTCGTCAGTGTTTGCAAAGATCCGACGTATGACAACTTTGTTTTGTCATAAAAATCTGACGAACTGTAACGCGTAAAAGTTGAAATGAAGGACGTAAAACCAACAGTCTGTATAATGAATTCCAATCAGCATAGAAAGCACACCATACATAAGGGAGTTGGAGGGGTCACTCAGAGAGGGGGGTACGGGGGCGTCCGCCAAATTAAGATCTCCCGCGCAAAACGCCTACGCTCCCGCGTTTTCCGAGATTACCAGTTTAACCGAGTATTTGCACTAAGCCCCCTGAATGATGGGCTGACACCATCTTAAGTAGTCGACATGCCATTCTACTTTTTTCCACATGATATGTTTGTCGCAAAAACAAGCGACCGATATGCTAATCCACAACAACACCCAAAATGCTGAATACTTGTGTATATAAGACGACAGGTATGGAAATAAGGATTAAACTGCTGTCCATACACTTATCGGTCACTCTTGCATTGTAAGCTTTCTGTGAAGCCCTTCATTCTGCGTTGTTGCAGACCAGAGGCTTGTCCATACTCAGGATTTGTCTACTCCTGAATCAGGGCCTTGCTTTCAAATCTTTGATTCAATTAACACAACAGTATCCTTAACCATTTATCTATCATTCTTACGGGCCAGGTGAAGACAATGTATTCCTATCTAGTACGTCTTCGGGAGAATACATGGTTGCTATACTAGTTGTTGAACTTGTGAAAATACTGGCCGACGTACGGATGTGTTGCAGTAATCCATGGTTCTCTCTTGTTAAGGTATTTCATTGTTTACTACTTTTGTTTCAACCAACTTTAAGACTATTGTGGTTAAAAATAGCAATCCCTTTGTAAATTTTGCTGATCTTCTGGCATTATACCCAAAGAATTGGACACGATTCTAAAAATATATGTCCTTAAATACGGCAGCAAAACCACACAATTCTTCCGTGTCAAACATTTACCGACTGGTTGGTAGCTTGGATTCAAATGTTTGATTCCAAATCTAATACAACTTATACTCTAATAACTTTAGAGCTCTGTCTGTTTGTGTGTTTGTAAAAATTATCTCGAATTCCAGCCGAAGGCTTTAGAAAGTTGATTAAATGTCGAGGATCTAATAGTAAACAAAATACACTTTTACTTAAACCGAACAAGGCTCTTACTGCTGATCCATAGGGATGATACATCTATACGGGGTATTTTTAGAGCTGTTGGTTTTGCTTATGCTGAAGTTTAAATTTTGCTTAAAGAAATATTCCGTTTGAATCCAAGCAAACAAATCACACCCCTTACTTACATCAATAGTCGTATTTTTGCAGGAGTCTTAAAAAACAGCATGGGAATTTGTCAAAAAAGGTTACTTTTTTATGGGTTTGATCACATTAAATTTATGGATTTGTGAAAACTTATTTACAATTTTCAAACGATATTTACTAGTGTACATATTGCTCGAAATCGAGCAATTGCAAAGAAGTTAAGTAGATACAGTATTTAAAAACAAATAACTTTTATACAAAAAAATAAAAGTCATAATTTCAGATGGGTTTAAGACTCAACTCATAGATAACGTACCTAACAGTTCCATATAATCAACATATCTTGTAAATATTTTATCATTTTTCAAAAGCTGGTCTGGTTTTTTAGTGTATTCTACAAATCTTTCCCACTTATAGCCGCATTAGGTTGTCCATGTTGATCTTCGTCAATGATAATGTAGTCTACATAGTACTCTCCATTGTAAGTTATATTTACCTTTAAAAAATGCGGAATTAAAAGGCCTAAAGTTGTTCAGATGGTTTTGTGTTCCCCTTAAATATGATTAATGCAAATCCTTCATTGAAATTTTTACTAAGGTTTCTTGGATGTAGTCATATTATTTTAAAATCACTTGACTTTTATGAAAACACATATTTAATGTCCTTGCCGTACCAGTTTAATTCAGCCTTAGAGTGTTTTCTTTTGCCAAACACCATAAAGTTAAGTCCGTGTTTCCTACAAAATAGTAACACTTCGGCTAACATCCTTGTTCATTGTTTTTGGGAATCTTCACATTGTAGGTGTTCTTCATTATATAGGATGATAACGATAGTAAATGTTTTTTTTTTGTAAATCTCTATTTCTTCTACTTGATGGTGTTCTATGACTTTCCTATGTTTCCATGGATAAAAAATCGGTTCTTTCCATTATTGCTCAAGAAATACAGTACCCTGTAAATTCATTTTTCTTATTTGGTAAAATATATCAAATTGCCCAGGCTTTCTCGATTTTTTATTTTGTAATATGTACGAATGTAAATTAAAGTAGTAAATATTTAATTTCAACAAAATCAGTAAATGTACCCAATGCGATTCGTTGAATTGAAAAATAAATAACAGCAATTACATTATACAGCTGATCAAAATGTAAACAATAATTATTATGTTCTTTATAAGGATAACATGGGAACTTTCAAAGCCACTGGGGCAGAGCCCAAGGGACTTTTAAAAAAATGTAAGGCCAGTTTGCAAATCTACGCGACACGCGCTTTCCAATGAGACGCCAATGGATAGAATCGGTTAAGAAATGGCGGAGGAGTTCAACCGACGTTTCATGTAGCGTATTAATTATATAGATTAGGTATGTCAGGGCATTTCAATTGGATTAAAACTAATATACAAAAACCGATGAAAGAGCAGAAGCTCAATTTCTTTAGATATACCGGTAGTAAAAAAAATGGTCACAAAACATGCGTACGTGATATACAAGACTGGGGTTATACAGTATGATAACATTTAAAGGACAAAGGAGCCATTCCGAAACTAATATGATTTTATGTATTTTACATTTTCATCTGCTTTTGTTCGGTAGGCGTAAAAATAAACAGGTTTGCAATGACTAAAAGGAGAGAAAATGCAGTACAAATAGCACATTGTACAAGTCTGTTTACATCATTTTTTTTTACATCGCAGAGCTATTCTAATTTCAGCGATGAAATGTTTGAGGTTTATTATAAAAACATTTTTCGTAGATTATATAATGTGTATGTTTTAAATTGTACTTTTTCGTTATTTTATGCATATCACTACTTTATACATCAGTAATATCACTATAAATAATTAAAACCAATTAACCGCTATCAAGCAAAGCTTGGTCCCCTGGTACTTGGATTCAGAAAACGTGACAACTTTCAAACATACTACGGTTATTGGAACAGAAACTGTATCATAAACACGAACTTATCACGTAACTGGTATAGTAAAATGCTTATACTGTAATAGTATTAAATGAAACAGTGAATATGTTCATATCAGCTGTTGCAGTTTTTAGCAGAATATTCGGGCCAGTGACGTCATTTAATTTTATGATCCGTATAGTTTTTCGTCTAATGCCTTTGAGATATATCTAACAGTGAAATTACAGTACTCAAGTTATGGTTACATCACGTCACAAGACAAATAACAGAAAAGATAATTTTGAATACAATTCTATAGGGAATATAGTTTGATTGTTGAACAATTAAATCTGGTAACTATTGAACTATTTGAGAAAACTTACAGTTTTGACATATCTGAAAAAGCATGGTGGCTCTTATTGGAGGCTCTTATTGATGGATATTTTTCTTTCAATAGAAGTTTGTCGTTTTCTGGTTGGTTGATAGAGATGACACTTAGATCCTTAAGACTTATTTTAGGTTAGGCAAGGAGTTATCATGTTTGATTTGTAGCAAACGGATTGATGTTTTATAAATTAATAATTACAACTTACGTCAATCAATCCAGTATATCTATGGAGGACGCACGTTTCGACCTTTAGGTCATCTTCTGCTCCGCTGTTGCACTAGGTTATTACATACTTAGTTGCGTTGTTGGTGTAGCAACCGCGTCAAATAATTTACACTGTGAAACATAGTCAGACCACGTAAACTAAAAACATAAAGTTGGGCGTGATGTCATTTTCCAGACAAAACTTGTTAAATCTTATCACAGACAAGGGGTTCTCAATGGTCTGATCTATTTCCAACCTAGTATATCTATATTGGTTCATTGCTACCTCTGCTTGACAAGCCATAAACATACTGGATTGATTGACGTAAGTTGTACTTATTAAGGTTAGTTAGGTTAGGTTAGTTAAGCCAGGTCACGTTATTTTGGTTAGGTTAGGTAAGGTTAGTTAGGTTAGGTTAGGTTAGTTCGGGACTATGTTACCTTGAACGACGCTCTCGCTTCAGCAACAGCCTTCTCGATAAAGTCGTCTGATATCCTTCTCGATGGATGTTCGTTGAACACAGAGTTCATCAGCGCGATCTTTGCAGCACTTCTTCTCGCTTCTGCTTTGGTTGGACAGTTCTAAAACATTTTTATGACGATTATGATGTGTTAGCAAATAAAATCACTTCTCAAGAACCTAGAGTTGGAGAGGAGTAAGTCTTAAAAACTCTATTTGAAAAATCTTGCCCCAAGCATAACTAAGAAAGTGTATTTCAATGATGAAAATATGTTGTTAGGAGGGAACGGTTTTGATTTTGAAACGGGACGCGTTCAGTTATAACAGTTTAGTCAGCTGCTAAATGATTTCAAACTTAACTCAGTGTCATTCCTCCCTGGATACTATACAAACTCGAGTGTTTCTTGAAGATAAATATCTTCTCTTCACAGAATATTATTTAAACACACAATAACACAATAGTATATAGGTTATTTAATAAGAAAGCACATAAATCACACGTTTACACTGTATGTTATACAACGTACAACAAGTTTCTTTGAATATTCTTCGTCCATTTCTTAATCATGCCATCGATGTATAATAACTATCATGCAAACAGTCGAGGAAAAGTTACTAAATTAAAAAGAAGGAAAAGCCCCAAAATTAAATGTTCAAGTCCAGACTGTAAGCTCAGTCTCTGATCGAAACATTAATTAATATTCAGACTCTCTGTCGGTCGCAACATTTATTTGCAAATTATTTCAACTCGGTTCGTCGATGTCCAAGTTATTTATAGCCTCAAATGACGAGCGTATTCCATCTCACACAAGGGCGCACCGATTAACCGGGAGATTTAAATATTGTAGAATGAAATTGAATATACTTAAGCGGGACATTATATTAACATATCAATCAAAGTATAATCGTTATGGTCGAAACATTCAAAATTTGTGCACATCCCGGCCACTAGTTATACGGGCTATAAAATATAATTTTGTTAAAACAGTATAATTTGAACTCATAAAAATATATTACGAGATAACTTATAATAATGGTGGTGGAGTGATTAGAATGCCTCGGAAATAGGGTCGGGGGTGTAGTCCGTTGACAGTAGATGAAGAGAAATCGGAAGCTGGCCTCGATTTTATGGCTCTTCGGTGCACTTCCAGCGCAGCCGCTGATCGCATTTACATACTGATCCGACCTGGCGAGAATGGCGAGCTCGTCGCGTACACCACATGCCGCCACGCGTAGAAGCCAGCCACATCTTGCACGACAAAACGTATGAAACCTAGCAATATTACACAATATGATACAACGTAGAGTCGCTAGCCACATCACGCGTGACATAACGCCGAGCCACTACCAGCACCTCGCGCGACACAACGTAGAGTCGCTAGTCACATCACGCGTGACGTAACGCCGAGCCACTACCAGCACCTCGCGTGACACAACGTAGAGTCGCTAGCCACATCACGCGTGACATAACGCCGAGCCACTACCAGCACCTCGCGCGACACAACGTAGAGTCGCTAGTCACATCACGCGTGACGTAACGCCGAGCCACTACCAGCACCTCGCGTGGCACAACGTAGAGTCGCTAGCCACATCACCCGTGGCATAACGCCGAGCCAATACCAGCACCTCGCGTGACACAACGTAGAGTCGCTAGCCACATCACGCGTGACATAACGCCGAGCCACTACCAGCACCTCGCGCGACACAACGTAGAGTCGCTAGTCACATCACGCGTGACGTAACGCCGAGCCAATACCAGCACCTCGCGTGACACAACGTAGAGTCGCTAGCCACATCACGCGTGACATAACGCCGAGCCACTACCAGCACCTCGCGCGACACAACGTAGAGTCGCTAGTCACATCACGCGTGACGTAACGCCGAGCCACTACCAGCACCTCGCGTGACACAACGTAGAGTTGCTAGCCACATTACGTATGACACAACGCGGAGCCACTACCAGCACCTCGCGCCACACAACGTAGATTCGCTAGCCATATCACGCGTGACATAACGCCGAGCCACTACCAGCACCTCACGTGGCAACTACGTAGAGTTGCTAGTCACATCACGCGTGACATAACGCCGAGCCACTACCAGCACCTCACGTGGCAACTACGTAGAGTTGCTAGGCATATCACGCGTGACATAACGCCGAGCCACTACCAGCACCTCACGTGGCAACTACGTAGAGTCGCTAACCACATCACCCGTGGCATAACGCCGAGCCACTACCACAGTCTCGCGTGACACAACGTAGAGTCGCTAGCCACATCACCCGTGGCATAACGCCGAGCCACTACCACAGTCTCGCGTGACACAACGTAGAGTCGCTAGCCACATCACCCGTGGCATAACGCCGAGCCACTACCACAGTCTCGCGTGACACAACGTAGAGTCGCTAGCCACATCACCCGTGGCATAACGCCGAGCCACTACCACAGTCTCGCGTGACACAACGTAGAGTCGCTAGCCACATCATGCGTTCAACGCTGTACCACTAGCAGCGTCTCGCGCGTCACAACGTAGAGCCACTAGCCACATCACCCGTGGCATAACGCCGAGCCACTACCACAGTCTCGCGTGACACAACGTAGAGTCGCTAGCCACATCATGCGTTCAACGCTGTACCACAAGCAGCGTCTCGCGCGTCACAACGTAGAGCCACTAGCCACATCACCCGTGGCATAACATAAAGCCCCGTAGAGCCACCAGACGACGAGCCGTTAGCAGCAACCAACGTTGTATCCCCATGAACATCATGGAGTATGGACTGTGAGCGGTGTACATGAGTGGTTACTCTGTGGACACGCGAGGGCCCGGGCTACAACGGTCACAAATTAGCCGAACCCCGTCTCAACACGCACCCGAGGAGAACATTATCCCGTAATATGGGATGAGCACACGCTACAGCATATTCCGCCTCTGTAGCGGTGCAGAGATGTAGAGGTGCGAAGTGAGAGCGGCTACAAGTGTTCTGAACTTGATCAGTTTCTCCAGTAAGTAGTAATAAGTAGTCGAGTTTCAGATTGAGGTGGTCAAAATCTTCTGTCGAGCTGCTAATAAACCACGTTTTTGAAACTTTGAAGTATGCATTTTATCATTGTCTACAAAATTAAAACACTTAAGTCGCTATCCAATAAACAATGTTTTGTTTACATCTTGTAAACAATGTTTTGTTTACATCTTGTAAAAAATGAACACATATAAAAAAAACAAATAGGAGTTGATGGCTTGACTTGAACTTAATTCATGTTAGTAGTCTTGTTCTACAGCATCTCCTATAAGTTTATTCCTGGCATTGCTTGAATTGCGTGAAAATTTCCGAAGAAAGAACTGTGCTATTAATAATGTTAACTGACCTAATACAAAACCACCGAGTGACAGGGGATGTGTTTACTATTCGAGTGTTCTATGTTCAATGCTACAATGCTCTTTGAGAAGATAGAAAACCATCCATAACAAAAGCGAGTTTATCTTAGGAATTGATTACATACAGAAACAAAAGCCCGTGCTATGAAGTATGTCAAAAGATCAAATACAAAAATCATCAATATCTTTAGGGATTCCGAAAAGTTCTTTGAAGAACGAAGATATCACCTAACTGATTAATTAAAGTGAGTTCGTGGTTTAAATTTACTTCCCTGTGAGTCCCATAATGTTATCGTCGACAATGTTACCAAATATGTAAAAGTCACGAAGTGCTATTGACTATTTTCATGAATTATAAAATGCCCTTTGAGAAAAAAGGCGTGAACCTCAATGAGAGAAGTCCATGTAAAAAGACTTTTTCTGCAGGAACATAATTTGCATGGCATGGATTACCTGAAAGCTGCCGAAGCAGGATCCTCCTGGTAACGTGACGTAGCAGACGTAGGGTGGACTCTGGGAAGGGACTGATTCGTAGATGACTAGAGCTCCATTCCTCAGGTCAGCCCCTCTCGTCTGCTTCATCTGCCAGAACTCTTGCAGGGCTTCGACGACGTTTACTGAAACATACAAGTCTTGTGAGAACACGATTACTGGATCGTAGGAAAAAGGTAAATTTAGTTTTTCCCGTTAGTTTAACTCATACGGAACCAAAATTGTGTATTGGTCCAGGAAAGAACGATTGCTAGTAGTTTGTAAATAGCATGTTTATAGTAGACCCCTTTTTCTTAGCTCCAATAGGACGTTCACAGGAGAAGTATTGTAATATGGATCCTAATCTTATTAATGGAGAATTTTGTTTAGTTTCTAGTAGTTTTAATGCGATTTAACATTTACAAGACTTCACTGGAGCTTTGTAAAAACACAGTAAAAAAACATGCATGACTTTAATTACGTTCACTGAAACATAAAACTCCTCATACCTGTAAGATTTCCTAATTTAAAAAAATTTTAAGAGTTTAAACGAAACTCAAATCCGAATATATGTAAACGGAATCCGAAGGATCGCCAAAGTACTTTAGAAAGAGTCGTCAAAAGTGCAGAGCAGTTCTACTTTGTATGCGCCGCTGCAGGGCATTCATCTTGCCATTGGCACTGTACCAGCCTCGTACCAGTACTGCAATACCGGCTCCGAAGGTGGACAAGTTTTCTAAATTTATGACGTTGATAACTAGAGTAGAGAACTAGATCTGGATCGCACTATCCAAATTAAATTACTCCACTCTACTGTACTCAAGGATTTGTCCTTTGTTGCACAGTACACAGAAGGACAGCGGGACAGTAATGTAAGGCAGTATTGTCGCAGAAGCGGAAAATAATAAAGAAAGTGTCAGATAGACATCTTCGATCGTATTTTTTTATTTGGTTTTTGGTACATTTGCAACTTATGTCGGAAACAGTTAAGAAAGAGTTTGTATTTTTCATGGCGTTTTATCACCAATTTGGCTTGTCAAAGTTTCAGCGCTTAAACAATGGTTGAAAACAAATCATATATTTATCTAGACTTCATTGTAAAAGCTTATTTATAAAACTTAATAGCCTACTTGGCTGAAGTAAATGAGTACAGGTTTCACCGAAAGCACCCTTTCAGACTTTTGAGTTTGGAAACCGTAGAGGAAAATGTAGGTAGTAAGCAATCTGCAAGGGAGTAACTTGACTTTTCCTCTCCGGTCCAGCAGGGGTAGAAATTTAACTAAATACACACAGAATCTGTAAGGGTCATTCGGAGCTGAGAGTCTCGCTATGCAGGAGTATGCAGCGAGCCGAGTGAAGTAGCCCGGCTCGTTCCATCCGGTCCAGCCGTGATGAGTCAATACGCCTCAGGCCACTACGCTACAGACAGAACGGTGACCCCTGCGTAAAATTATACACACTATGGGCCTAATATATCCACTGAACCTTTGTGCGTCCCTACTGTTGTTTCCACCGTTTGTAGTTCCGATAATTCGTAGGATAGAACTATGCTCATTCTGTAAGTTTAGAACAATAATTCTGCTAACCACACACAAACTTGTCAATAAAGCAAAAGATTTGTAAATATCTTTGAGCTTGTTCATTGGGTACTTGCATATAGCGAATCTAGAAAAAAATGTAACCGCCTACGTTACTTTGAAACATGGAAACATGGTTTCTGAGAAATTAGAACTGACAAATTTTAAATTGAGGTTGAAAGGCTGTATGATAGCAACTTCTTCCTATTAGTGACAGTCCCACATTCTCGTCAAAATTACAGTCAAGTTTATGCTAGTCTTGATTGAGTTTATCTTCGTGTCCTAACCTACCTCCGCAGTTTGAAGAAGATAGAGCAATATGCAAATCAGTTATCTAATACGTTTAGCGTGTAACCAGGCGTTGGTAAGAATTTAAACGAAAACCCCATGTGATAAGGTAAGTCACAGTAAGACAAGATTAAAATCTTTAAATAAACTCAATACTTCAACAATATACGTATAAACTCCAATGAAATAGAGAGACGAATAATATGATGTTTGATTTACTCGTGGTGTAAATGAAATATAACTGAGTGTAGTTTTCCTAGCATTGATGTTTGATACATCCGATCAAAATAAAATAAAACTAGGGGTCCGAAGCAGTAATTGCTGTCCTTATCTTCCGTTGTAGCTCTGCACCATTCCTAAATACTCTCCTTTTTAATCGCGGTCTTTCCCTAACAAGATACTTTCAAACCTGTATTACTATTCTAACCTAAAAATACCCCCACCGCAGCAAACCTGCAGACTAAGCGAATTTCCATTTGACTGATTTGATTTACACTGAAATGTCTACTTAAAAATATAACATTTATTCCCGATTTAAATAGAATTAGTTTAACAAGTACTTAGGTTTGCTGCTTCAGGGAGGGCAAAACTGTTTTTTTTTGTAAAATGTTAATAGTTAGTAATAAATAAAAACATTTTCCAAATTTGATCAAAATATGTTCATAAACAAGCAAACTACAACCGTTTACTTATTCTCCATAAGAATAACATGGGGATTTTAAATTTAAACATTTTTGGAATTTTCTACGTAACCATTAGGCGCATAATAACGCTTCAATATACTAAATTATTTGTTTTTTAAGCTCTACAAAATGGTTTGGAAAAAATTGCTAAATTTTATGTTTTTTGGGTCAAAAATGGGAAAACCTATTTTTTACCCCATAAAACCCCCCGTTCCCATGGTCCGATCATGCTGGATCGCGAACTCGTTCGAATAAACGTAGGTTTACACGTTTGTACCAAATTTCATCAAAATCGGATCATTTTTGCTCGAGTTATCGTGCTAACGGACAAATATATAAATATATACAGTATATATGAATTTGGACGGATGGTGTTTTTGGCCTCTAGGGGCCTCAAAACGAAAAAAAATCGGTCCCGCGTCCAGGTCTTACCATGAGTACTACGATAGCTTAAGGAAATTCGCTAACAGAACACTAAAATCAATAAACAAACAAATACGCAATGTTTACATCAGCTGGTATATTTAAAACAGCTTATAGAAACACTGTAGCAGTACTTCCATTAGAAAATGACTGGATTTTTGATGGTCTGTGAGCGGAGCAAGGGTGATTTTTGGCACTTCTGATATTCTATGGCTTTAAAATCCTCAACAGGCATGCTACCTTTTCCTAGCTCGATATATTTCGTGGGTACCGATTCGCTTACGGAATTAAATATATAGATTTCGAAAATAATCCCATACACATACGATATATTGATAGCAACAGCTAGAATATCATGTTCTCATATTTTTAATAAATATTTTCTCCTTTGGACAATTAAAGAAAGCTAATAAAGAAAATACAAGGCGGAAGCCACAAAAGGTGGAGGACTCGCTATCTGAGTGAAGACTCTGATAGAGAATACATCAAGACTGCAAGGTCGCTGGACTTTGCCTTGTAGGGAACAGGCAAGAAGGCAAATAGGCAAACAGGCAAGGAGGCACGCACTAGAGAAACTGTCCTTTCGTTATTACACCATTAATTATAATCACACTTGCAGCCATTAGAGTCAAAGTAGGTGTCTCGGGTCCGTGGGAATCGCGAATATTCTAGAGTTGCAGGATTGTTCACGTAGAGGGAATGGCAAATACACGAAGGAGTTTGCTGTAAGAGTTGATGGTAGATGTTGTAAAACAAGGGTTTGCATGAACCATATTGCTGAGGCGAAAGTGGTGATGAGTTAAACTTGTGGTAATTTGTGCTTCTTAATTAGTGAATTACCTGGGTTACACAAACGGTACCTTGTAGTGGCACAATTTAGGTGAACCTTGAGATCTTTCACATAAATCTGTTAATCTCTAAATACAAATCTCAGAAAATTCAAAAATGTACCTTGCTCGAAAAGTCGACCATAAGTGTACCAGAGGCTATTGACAACAGGATGCAAGCGCCAGGTGAACTTACCCATGATGGAGGTCAACCGTCTCAGCCAGACAGACAAAGAGTTTTGGGGCCAGTCAGTAATAAGAAACATTTCGACCGGGAATGTGGTCCTGGCGAGGTACCGAGCAAGTACAATGCACCCGAAAAACTGCTTAAGGTCTGGAATCCCTGTACTTAGCGATTCCGTATTGGCACTGCAACGGGGGACGCAATTTACAATGTTTTGCCGCCAATGTCGCGGCGGGCCACAAATCTCCCGCCAGACAGAAAGAGTACACCGCTTGATTTCTGGGTACTAATTAGCAAACAATGCCAGACCCGGCCACCTCACCAAGGGAAAAACTTTCCGGGGAAGAAAAAATTGAAACCGCTGTTACTGTGGGAAGCTGCAGGGCGATGCACTTGCGCTACTTGCGAGAAATTGGGCAGAGCTGGAGAAGAAGACAAAGGACTTGGAAGCTGTTGGGGAAGAAGGAATTGTGGATGTTATAGAGAATCTTGCTTTAATTTTATACTCCTATGCCATAATAGTTACATGTAACTTATCAAATTATGCACATTATGCCATGTAACATGTACAAGACCAGTCAGCATATTCGAAGCTTTTAAAGATTTACAAGATACCTACTCAAATTTACGGTTCTGACAGAAAAACTGATTCTAACTCCAAGAGTAGGTATGACACCTTGATGAACAATGGACGAGAAATTTAAGAGTACTAGTGCACCTGTTGCTCGAATTCGAGCAATTGCAAAGTAATACAGGCGTTATTAAAAAAAGAACAGCAGTCATAATTTCCGTTGATTAAGAGTCAACTCAAAGATAATGTAATCAATCACTTCACTCCAGTTATCGAAACTGAAAACGAACGTTTTTGTGTGTATCATGTGTTTACTATGAACAGCTGTAATTAATACAAATTATTCATCTGTTTAAGTAAACAAAATCTTTTCTTCATAAGAAATACATTGGGATGTTTATGGCCTGTGGGCCAAAGCCCGAGGACTTTTATTACAGGAATTGGTGAAAGGGGGCGTCTACACAAAAAAAATCAATTCACCATTTAATTATATCTCTGCTTTTCAACCTTGGTCGTTACGTATAGACTTAAGTGTGTAAAGTCAAAGGCCCATATATTGGGACCAGTTTTGGGCATAGTTAACCAAGCTGTTT